ACACACACACACACACACACTGAAATGGGCGAGACAGAAGCAGAAGGTGGTTCTTAAAGAGACAGAGGCCAACTTCAAGGTGTTTAGAAGAGGAAGTGATGAGAAGATAAGTTTATTTTCTATTTAAACATAAAAAACAGCATTTTAATAACAGCTAAAGGTGACATAGATACTTTATTATGGTATATTATTTAAATATATGCCTGAGAAACACATAATTTTGCCCCTTTAAACATTCAATTTCCTTTGATTTTACCGAATATGCAGAACTCTGAGATTTTTCTCTTGCATTTAACATCCTGTTTGTTATCAAACAGGATGACAAATATGATGCTAAAGTGCTGTTTTGAACTGGAAGTGGTTTTTGTTTTAAATTTTGTCAGATGTTATCTCTCTGTTTACGTTGGTCGCATTTCTTCACCGTTTGGTTAGTCATCAAACTTTTGTATTTAGTGTTTTAGTGCAGAGCTGGACTCCAGACTCTGAATTCTGTTTCTGTGACGTCAGAAAATATTCCCCCGAGCGTGGGACAGATCTGTGACGGTTGGTTATTTTTGCATGAAATTGTTCATCAGAGGTGCAACACAAACTTTGAACCGTGGGTTTCAATGAGTCAAGCATTTATTTTATTTTATTTATGTTTTTATTCAGACTTGGGAAGAATAAAAAAAACTCCATTATTGACAAAATATCTCTAAAACACAGCAAAGTTACAAAGTTTTAAAATATAGAAATGAAAGTATTTAAATGAAACATAGAGCTCTAAACTTAACAATATGTTCATTTAATGTTTGAAGATATTAAACTCATCTTCAAGCTGTTGAATATTTTTTGCTAAATAAGAACAAAATGTAAATAATGATTTCAGCGTCCATCAGGCCTTTTTTCCACGATGTCATTCAGGAGGTTGTGCCTCGGCATAAACTACAGCAATAAACAGGAAATAAGATAGAAAAATAATCAGTAGTAAATGCTGACTCAGCTGTTTTTAAAGTCACTCTCCCAACTATTTAATGAAGAGATTTATCATTTTKGATTTGTTACTCACCTGGGTCACTTTATTCTTTTTCATCACTGAGGAGAAAAAAAAAGATCCGCTTAGAAACATTAAATAAAAAAAATACTTAAATGAATAAAATAAATAAACTGCACAGATTTTACTTGTTTATTTGTTTGAGTTTTCTGTTGAGGATGAAGGTGGCCACACCAGGCATCACAGCTGAGAAGGGGACGATGATGAGCCGGATGTAAAAGCTGATGTGGTCTGTGAATGATAAGGAAACAGAGAAATTCAGTTTAGATTYAATCAACTTTGATTATGATTCAGAGGATGATCATAAAGCCGATAAGAGGGTTTGGAATTATGAAATGTGGTTAGAAGAAAAAAACATCTAAAAGCAAAAACATAGATACGGTTGAAGTTGATAGTACATACAGCTGGTTTTAAACTCTTTTATGGAGGGCTCGCTCTTGAAGACTCCATTGAAGGCGATAACCTATAAAACCAAAAAAATCTCTATTAGAAACAGTATTTAAGCAAAAGCAATACTATTTATTATTTTCTTGTGGAATCAAAACCAAAYCTTAAACATACCTCCACTTTGTAGGTGGTTACGTAGCTCAGGTCTTCAAATGTAAAACTACAATTACTGCTGTTCACTTCTTTGTGACCAACAAGATGCGCTATGAAAATCCTCTCAGGTCCTTTAAAATTATATAATGCTCCAAATCCATATTGTGACCGTTCACATTCRACATTCATCACATTGTTTTCAGGAGCATCCAAATATACATTAACTCGGTTTGGTACTGCATGAAGAACAGAGAAGAAGTATTATAAAAGCCAAAGAGTAAAATTTTATCATTAAATGCTGATGAGTTTGTTTCTTACATAAAAACAGCTAAAATCTTAAAACTATCAGACTTTAATTGAAGCATCTTCTGTATTTACACTGAAATATCAGGCAGATATTACTTCTATTGGTCTGTATTTACTTTGTTATAAACTTTTTTAGTAAATGTTTGATCAGAAAATATGATGAATATTATACTTTAATGTGATGAACAGAAGTGTAAATAGTTTTACATTCAAATTTGTATTTATTTAAAGAC